TAAGAAATTAAATGGGAATTTTGGGGGCATTTTGCAGAAGTCACAGACTACATGGAAAGGCCAGCAGATGACACAGAAAAAGTTTAGAAATTCAGAAATGTATTATATATATATAATATTATATAAATTATATATTGTATGTATATACATACACAGATATGTATATATTGTTGTATAATATCAACATATTTTAGCTTTCTATACAATAATAATTTAGACTTCTTCTCTGGTACAAAGGGAGGGCCAAAATATTTCACCTGGATTTTCCAGATCATGGAGCACTAATCCCCCTCCCTTCCAGATGTGAAAGGGATAACTGTGAAGCAAGCATTCATCCAGCCTCTGTCCCTCCAGCTATTCAATTCAATTCAACAAGCCTTCATTAAACAACTATTATGTGAGGAGCATAGTGCTAGATGCCAGCAATACAAATGAAAAAAAAAAAAAACTACCATTGTCTTCTCATTCTCTGCCATATCCACAATAGCTTACATTTTTTAAAAAAATTCAGTAATTTAATTCAAGCATTTGCTATATCCCTAGTAAATGGGAAGCACTCTGCTAGGACAATTAATACATGTTAACCAATTTAAGTAGACTTTCCATGGAGAAACCTTGTGGAATTTGTATCATTATGTAATATAATAGCTCACATTTATATGGTGTCCCAAAATTTAGAAATCATTTCTGACTCAGTTCCATTCAACAAACATGGAAAAGTCCTCACTAGTTACCTGGCATTTTGCTGGGCAATAAAATTAAAAAGGTACAAATGAGGCTATCCTTGTACTCCGCTTGCTTCCCTCCAATGGCACTCGCAATAATATTAGGAAGCCAGTAATGTGTCATTGGTCTCCTTTAACAGATGACCTCAAATATTGGTAGATACATGTCATACCCTACCTTAAATCTTCTCTTCTCCAGAATAAATGTCTCCTCTGCCCCTAGTTCTTTTAACTGTGCTTTCTATGAAATCATCTAGATTCCCTTCGCCATCCTAGTCATCCTCATCACTATGCTTTCTAGCTTATCAGTACGTTGACTAAAGTTCCAACCCCAAAACCAAGCATGACACTCCAGATGTGGTTCAGAGTACTGTAGGGATATTATCACTCTGGACTTGGATTATGTTTCCCAATGGAACTCCCCCTCAATATTCTCGGCTGCCTTGTCACCCTGGTGACATATTTTTGCAGCAGTTCGTCAAATCCCGCAGGGCTGGGGAACCTGCAGCCTCAAGGCCACACGTGGCCCTCTAGGTCCTCAAGTGGGACCCTTTGAGTGAGAACCCTTAGAACAAGGAATGCCAAATGTTCTGTGAAGTTTGGATTCAGTCAAAGGGCCCCACTTGAGAACCTAGAGGGCCAGATGTGGCCTCGAGGCCACAAGTTCACCCACCCCTGCCCCAGACCATTGTCAGACAAACTGCCACATTTCCCCCATCCTGTACTTTCTAAAAGTATTTTTTCTCCTCTAAATTTACAACTTTACATTTATTCCTATGTAATTTTGCCTTCTTAGATTTGGCCCAAACTTTGAATATGTCAAGGTTTTTTTTTTCTTCTTTACAAGTAAACCAAGAGAGTTTCCATCTGTAATCTGACAAGCACGAAGCTCTTGTGATCAATAGTTGATTAAAACATCTCTCTAATAACAAAAGCAGAAGTCTTTGGGGGCATGATTTTAGGGGTGTGAGGGGTTAAGATGAAAGGGAAGATACTGAGGAGGAAAGAGCTACTCTCTGAACTTCAGGTTTAGACTTATTGGCAGAATGATACATTTCAGACCCCTATCATTCCTTACATGCACCATCTCTGTCTAGGTTTCATTGAACATTTGTGAAGTGGATAAAGTATTGTTCTAAATTTGGAGCTAGGTAGACCTGAGTTCAAATCTTGCCTCAGATGCTTACTAGTAGTATGACACAGGACAAAACACTTCACTTCTCTCTGCCTCAATATCCCCATTTATAAAATGAGGATAATAATAGCATCTATCTCCTGGGGTTCTTGTAAGGATCATAAGCGATAATACTGCATGTCTAAAAAAATGCTTTGTTCAGTTTTAAGCCTTAGATCCAAGCTGAACAATAATTTTTTGGATTCTCTGGATATGTAAACTGCTTTTCAAACCTTCAAGTATTATAAAATAATAGATGTCCTCATTTTTATTGTCACCTCATCATCAGCATCTTCATCATCAACCCACCTGGGACACTCACTAGTTGTATCACCCTGGGAACACTTAATTTCTCTAAGCCTCAGTTTCCTCATTTAAAAATGTGAGAGCTGCGCTTGAGGATCCCTAAGGTTCTTTTCAGCTCTGAACATTTGTTCATAGGGTCCCAGATCACAGAATTATAGAAATACAAGAGATTGGTACTCTTACATGTCAATCCATATCCATAAAGGGATCTCCATTACCTAATAAATGATTGAAAGACCTTTTAAGAGGGAAAATCCATTGCCTTTCATGGTAGCCCCTTCCCAAATACTTTAGGATAGCTCTAATTCTTAATTTTGTTTTGTTTTATTTTCCTGCCTTCAAGTCTACATGTGCCTTCTTGCAGTTTCCATCCAGTGCTCCTGTTTCTTCCCTCTGGAAGCCAAACAGGACAACTCCAATCCCTCATCTATGTGGAAGTTAATCATATGCTTGAATACTAGTGTACCATGAGCTCTGGTGCTCACTCTCCAAGCCCCTATTCAGATTTGTAAGCTGCAGCCCAGAGAGAAGCTAGCTACTTTTCTCTCTCAGGTTCCCAGTGGTACCTTAATTTGCTGGGGATGGGAGCTGTCAAACAGTATAGGTCAAGAGCCCCCTAATGATTAGCATTTGATATAAATTAGTCAATTAATTAACTTCTAGAAATGTATATATTCTAGGGTGATATATTAACTATACCACTCTGTAGTATGGAGTGGTATAGTTTATACAAAATACCACTCCCTCCTAAAAAAAAAAAGACAGGAACATATTACTCCCCAAAAAAATATATACAGGGTCTAAGGAAAAAATGAATTCAAGCTTAGAGCACATGTGGCAAAAAGGGTAACTCATGGCACTTGGAAGTTCTTTCAATGTAAGAACTTTCTTCCTCCTTTCATGACCCTCCATCCCCATTGTCCACTTTAGATATGATGGAGCTTTCTTTTTATTTTTTCAATTTCATACATATATATGTGTGTGTGTGTGTGTGTGTGTGTGTGTGTGTGTGTGTGTGTGTGT